GGGCCTATCCCTGTGGCGCTGGGATTTGAAAGTTACTTAACCAGTTTGTAGATAAATTGGCGGTCTGAATCTGGAAGGGGGGGAGAGGGGGTGATAGCAGGGAATGGGCTATTCAAGCATGATTTGGGGGCACAACTGACAAGCCACTTCAGAGAAAGTCATAAAGCTGAAAGGTACCACACGCCTTGTCGTAGTGAGGTGCCGACAAGTCCACTCCAACCCATCCCATCCCCGCGCCGCAGAGCAGAATGCACTGCCCAGGCCCATGCCGCCTTCACGGTCGGTCCAGTGTTCGAGCCCACGGTGGCAGCCGCGTGGCAGTCCATTTAGTTGGTGGCCTTCCTCTCCTTTGCTGTACTGCCGCTGACCAAGCAGGGTGTCGTTCCCCAAGGACTGGTCTCCCCTGACAACATGTCCAAAGTCCATGAGAGGAAGTCTCTCAGCCTTGCCTCTGAGGAGCACTCTGGCCGTACTTCTTACAAGACAGGTCTGTTTGTTCTTTTGGCAGTCCGTGGTGTTCTCAGTATCCTGCACCAGCACGGCAATTCAAACACATCCATTCTCCCTCAGTCTCCCTTATTCCATGTGCATACTCCTTCCTCCCAAACAAATGGGCGTAGACGCAGCCAAGATGAGAAAGCAGAAGGACGGGAAACCCTGAGCTCCTATTGAAAAACAATGGACAGACAGCTTTAGGAGCCCAGAGTAGAGAGGAGTCCTAGTGGCAGAGTGCAGTGCATAGGGGTCTGGGAACCACAAGTCAGCAGTTCGAACCTACCAGTTGCACTGTGGAAAAGAGATGAAGCTTTCTGCCCCCAAGACGGATCACGTCAGAAGCCCACAGGCGCGGTTCTCCGCGGTCCGCCCGCCGCTGTGAGTTAGAACAGACTCGGCAGCAGTGGTCTGATGAGCGCAGGGAAGGCTTTCTGAGCCAGGTCCAAGACGAGGCAGGTCACAGACCGTGCTGGCCACCGGAAACTCCGAAATGGTTGTGAGCAAAAGATACCACACATAAAAGAGACAACGGTCCATTGTGTGCAACTGCACGTGACAAGAGGTGAGTTGTGTTGATTTAGGAAAACGTCTTCATAAACAGATAAATTAGGGAGGACACTGGCAGTTCACATACGAGTACGCACAAAGACCAATCAGTCAACGAACATTTGAAAAGGCGCCTGCCGTCTCGGATCATTCACGAATCGAAACAAGATGTCATTTTCCCGCTGTCAGGCTGGCCTGGTCTGCAACTTCGAGAATGCGTTTTGGCTGCTGTGAACAACGTTGCAACCACCAAGTGCCTGTCTGCATTTCTCCTCTTCCTCCTTTTGGGTTTCTGCCTGGCAGTGGAATTGCTGGATCATGCACACGGTCATGCTGTTGAGGGCAGGGCTGCAGACCCCCTTGGGCATTTCCGGGACCGGGGTGTCAATGGATTTGTCCCCATCTGAAGACAAGTTGACGATTTCTGTCAGAATTTTAGGGCCACCTATCATTGCGTCCATCACTCCTAGGGATTTCTCCTACCGCTCATGTCATATGCATGCACACAGTGGAAACCCCAAAATACCCCTCACCACGGACAGAATGCTTGCTCCTTAAGAGGCAAGGATGCTGAGACTTGGTCTCACGAACTTTGGACATGCTGTCAGGAGGGACCAGTCCCTGGAGAAGCACATCCTGCTTGGGAAAGGCGGGGGGCAGGGAAGATGGACAGACACGGTGGTTGCGACAATGGGCTCAAACCTCGGCACGATTGTGAGGACGGCGTGGGACTGGGTGGTGTTTCCTTCTGTTGTGTGTGGTCTCTCTGGGTCGGAACTAACTAACAACAGCACAAAGGATAGGTTCCCATAAATGATAGCCAGTCCATTCTGGAATACAAGGAGCTGTTCGGAGAAAGAGAGGGATTCTGTCCAGGCTGATCTGCACAGGGCGGTGTTGTGTGCTAACAAACTTGGTGAAGACAACACTCAACTCATGGCTTTCAGTCAGTTTGACTTGGAACAAGCCTGCAGTGTGGTCTAGAACTGCCGTTGGGGATTTCCAAGGCGGTAACTCTTTACAGAAGCAGAAAATCTGATTGCTGTTCCTCAGAGCAGCTGGTAGGTTCAAACTATGACCTGGAGGTTAGCAGCCCAACAAATAACTCACTGCTTCACCGAGGCTCCTTCTAGAGAAAGGGTACCAAGAATATGACCTTGGTCGGGTGAAAAAGAAGATGCAGGCATAGGTACCCACTACCATCCAATAGATTCTGACTTGGTGACCCTGTAGGACTGGGTAGAACTGCTTCTTAGGGTTTCTGAGACCATATAGGAGCAGACAGACAGCCTCATTCTTCTCCATCTGATTGGCTGGTGGCTTTGAACCACCAACCTGGAAGCTAGCAGCTGGTTGCCCAACCCGCTGCAATGCACCAGGGCTCCTTGCAGGCATGGATGTGTGTGTGTGTGTGTGTGTGTGTGTGTGTGTGTGTGTGTGCGCGTGCGCACTGATGGGAAACTTCTAGCAGAGAACTTGGAAAAACGCTACAAATGCCTGTGTTTGGAACATGGGGTCGGGGAGGCGGAGTTTTTTCACTGTATATTCGTATGAATGGTTTCATTTTTTTCCACGCAAGCATGCCATTTTCAGAATTTAAGAAGAATCTGAAAGAAGATGGAAATTCTAGAGTCCTTGTGATTTCAGATCCACCCCAGTCTTCCTCTTTCAGTGCACTTCTCAGTGGGGTCCTGGTCTCACCGTCACAGTTTTCATCCCCACCTCCGGATCTTCTCTGGTCTGAGGACAGTGGGACCTGGACAGGCACCAGCAGGCTGCCCGGGCGGCCTGGCTCGTCTGTCTCCAGAGTCGGCTCATGACACCTCTTGGAGGGAAGGGACTTTTGACCCCTCTGTCTGGGTGAAGACCCTTCCAACTACGTCATGTGCACCCAGGGAGGAGACTTTCTCTTTAAAACATGGGCATGTAATTGTAGTAACTCTGGAGGTGGTTCATAGAAAACCTCTCCATTTCACCAGCCCTCCCAGGGATACCTCAGCGATATGAAATGGGCCCACCTCGCTAGTCCGTCATCACTGCGAGCTGTTCCCCAATTCCTCACCTTTACAGAAGCTCAGTGTCCCCCCATCTTTGTGCCTTCCTGTCACCCGCCCCTGCTCGCCACTGCTGCACTGCCGTTTCTATGCTCTGGCCTCTTCTGGACATTTCACAGCGGAGAGGTCGTACAAGACTTGCCCGTTGGGGACTGACTTATTTCCCTCGGCACCATCGGTTCAAGGTTCATCTGTGTTGTGTCGTCGATGGGGCTGACTTTCTCCTTAGGACTGACTCCTCTTCCACTGCAGGAGCCCTAGTGGCATCGTGGGCTATGTGCTGGGCTGCTAACCCCAAGGTCAGCGGTTCAAAGTCACCAACCACTCCTCAGGAGAAAGACGAGGCTGTGTGCTCTTGTAAAGATTGACAGCCTCAGAGGCCCTAGGGAACGGGCGGCTGGGCACTGCAGGGTGGCTACGCTTCTGGAGCAGCTCCATGGCAGGAGGTGTGGGGCTTGAGTGTGGGTTTCATGGTCCTTTGTAAGCCTATGAAACTTGTGTGCACATGTACTAGTTGAGGGACTTTCAGGCGGTCTCCACCTTTTGGCTGTTGAAGACAGATTGTTGTAGGTAGCGGTTCTCAGCCTGTGGGTCGCAACCCCTTTGGGGATCGAACAACCCTTTCACAGGGAGTCGCCTAAGACCATCGGAAAACACGAATTTCCAGTGGTCTTAGGGACGGAGACACCGCTTCTCTATCTGTCTCCGGGCGGGTCCGCCCACATGCAGATACGCCCACCTATGAGTACCCGGCGTGAAGACTGTTACCCATGCTACACCATGCTTCAAGATGAAATTTCATTGACTTGTCATTAGAAATAAATAGGCCACCCTATAGAATGACCTATTGTTTTTGTGATGAATCACTATGCTTTCATGATGTTCCATTTGTAACAATGAAAGTAAATCCTGCCTATCAGATATTGACATGACGCTTCATAACAGTAGCAAAATGACAGTAATGACCGTAGCAATGAAAATAATGTTATGGTTGGGGTCACCACCACGTGGGGAACTGTGTTGAAGGGCCGTGGCATCGGGAAGGTTGGGAACCGCGGCTGTCGGTGTCACCACGCCCGTCTGACTCATAGCGACCCGGTGGACAACAGAGGGAAACGCCGCCCAGTCCTGTGCCCTCCTCTCGTGGAAATGTTGTTGCACCGTCCGGCCCTCTTCTCTGGGTCTTCCTCCTCTTCCCTGCCTCTCTGCTTTACCGAGTACGATGTACGAATAAGGAACAGGCTGCCACTTCAGAGGAAGGAGCCCCCCGAAAACCCATGGAGAGCCCCGGAGCAGCGTGGACACGGTGTAGCGATGTCTGTCTGTGTGCCTGTTATTAGACCCCCTCGGAGTAGAATTGCTCGCTCGCGTGTGTTCATTTTCTGGTTCGCATCTTGAGGAACTGCCACGCTGCTTCCTCGTGGCACCAGTTCTTGTAGTCCAAGTGGAGAAACTCAGAAAGATGCAGTTGCCCGGGCAGCTCCCTGTAGATCCAGTGAGCCCTGGAAGTCTCCCTTCTAGGTGGTCTGGAAGGGCCATTTGACCTCCCCCCTAGCAGTTTACCCCCCAGCCCAGGGAGGGAAGCAGGGGAGAAAGTGGCCGAGCCAGACCTAGGGGCGTGGACTCCCAATGCTGCTCCAATGCTGGTCTCTGCTGGCTCGCACCGGGGGCAGACGGGGCTGGGGGTAGGGGTGCACCGGCCTGGATTTGAAGGTGGGAGGCAGGGCCGGGGATCATGGCCCTCACACCATCCGAGCTTCAGTCTGAAGCAGGCCTGGTTGGAAGGTGCTGACAAGCATCTTGGGCCAGGGAGGGAGAGGCTGGGGGAGGAGCCCGGAGGAGGCACGAGGAGGACTGGGACCCATGCCCACCTGCGCTGAGTGCTCTGTTGTCCCCATGCCACAGAGCCTGAGAGCCACCTTTGTGGTCGGGAAGCGAGCGGAGACACCACCAGGCCTCTCCGAAGCAAGTTTTCCTAAGGATCCATCAGGAAGCGGCAGGACCACCTGCCTGAGCCCACGCGCCTCTCCTGCTGCTCCAGGTAGGTGTCTACCCACTTTATCCATCCAGGCTAAGCCCCTAGGGCCTGCCTCACCTTCAAGCCCCAGAGATGTGGCCCTTCGTGACTCCCCCATCAGGGCTTGGCAACAGCCCTCCCCGCCAAGCCCACCACCACCTGGAAGGAAAGCTGGGTGTCTTGGTCCCCTTCTCCAGAGGGCACTGTGCCAGGAGGCCCCAGCTCTCTTGGGAAGAAATGCCCAAGGTAGGTTCTAGCTGGGTCCCCAGTGGTTCTTGCCCAGCCGACCCCAGTTTGGAATGTGTCCAGACCCAAACCAGATGGGCCCCTTCCCAGAGATCCCTGCATCTGGACACCTCAGAGGGACAGGGTTCCGGAAGATGGCATCTCCGTAGAAGGTTAGCGTGTCAAGGGATCTGAGTGAAACAATCCAGCCTCAGGCCTCCCTCGTCCTCTCCCTCCTACTTCACAAGCTTAGATCGTTACCAGAGCCAAGCTCACAGCCCTCCTGTCCTTCCAATTCACGGTGGCCTTTAAAATGATGTCTGCATATCTCTGAAGATAATCTTGTCAACATAGTCAGCTACCCGATCCCTGCCCATGCCCA